GGGTGCAGAGGGGAAGGTGCGCTGCCGCAGTCGGAGCGGTTAGAGACCTTTGCTTGTAGGTGCTGGTGTCCCTGGGCCATATCGCGACAGGCTGGCCCGGGGCTTGCCAGGGCAGGAGGAGAGGCAGCGTTGGAGCGTTTGGGTTTGAGCCTTCAGTGCCCTCAGTAGCTGGCTGGAAGCTCAAAGCTCAGCTCAGGGAAAAGCCTGGCTTCCGAGAGCCGGCCTGGCAGAGGGAGGTGGGTTTCGGGGTCGGGGCTCACGCCCAGGAGGGGGATCGGTCACCCCAGCAGGGACTCGACCTTGGGGGCTCCCCCTGGGTGCAGGCGGGTGAGGGCGGGCAGCGGGCGCCCCGCGATGCTCTGAGCCGCGTCCCCAGCGGAGCTCAGCCAGGCATCATCGCTCCTTTTCTGTCAGCGGTGCCGGCTCCGGGCACACCCCAAGGAAATCCCTGTCTGCGATTTTTTCCTGCTCAAAATCTCACCCGGCAAGGGCTCTGCGCTTTGCATTTCTGGTCTCCTGTTGCCACCTGCCGTCAGCTGCCTTTGGCCTGACGTGGGGGATTGCTGGGGCTGCGCCTGTCCGAGACTGGCTTGCAGGCAGAGTAAAAAGTCTGACAGATCAACGTCTGCGCAAAGAATTTAGAAACAATCATGTTGCAGATTAATCCTTGCTTTGCCAACTGTGCCTGCTCCCCTCCCCATCTTATGGAGTCGTACTGTGAAAAACTCTATTTTTCCTGCATCAAAGTTGGGTGCTAACACTTGGAAACACTCGGTAAAATCAGTATCGATGCGGCAAGAAAATATTTGACTTCTGCACATTTGTTCTGGTATCACAGGATTCTCACCTGTGCTTCAGCGAGGATCTCTGGGGATGCACCCCAAAAAAAAAAAGAGCAGTAGGACTGACACGTTGTATGAGAACCCAGGAAATTCAGAACAAATGACATCAAGTACCTGGGGACACTGTGACTACCGGTGCCTTGCTCAGTTTCTTTAGTATTTTGATTTTTTGGGGTTTTTTTTTGGTGATGTCAAAATTGGTAAGTTTTACAAGAAGTTTTTTCTCTGATTAGGACGCTGGAGGAAAGCACCTCTCTCTCAGCAAAAGTCTCTTTTCAATTTGCTTCTAATTCCTTTCGCCTATATTTAAAACCTTTTTTTTTTTTTTTAATGAATTAATTTACTCTGGCATACTTATAGCAAAAAACCCAAACATCATCCAGAGAGCCCGAACCTTTCTCTAGGGCTGTTCTTTTGTGTTCTCCAGCTGAAACCGGAGTCATTCTTGTGGTGATGAATGAAATTTAGGGTGAAGGTAGACCGATACCAGGGTAATATCAGGATTTTCAACACACCTGGCACCAGAGATACGGAGTGACGGTATTATCAGTGTCCTGCCTCCGCGGTGCTCTGCTCGAGCCAGGCTGGGTGCCAGCACTGTCAGGCTGGTTTACAAACTCACCCCTGTGAGTACCTGCCCCCATTTTTGCTGCCCCAAGCTCAGAAATAGCTCATGCGAATCAAGGAGTCTGCGCCGAAAACGAAAACTAGATTTCAGGTTCGCAGCAAGCTGTGCTTTTTAAAAAATATATATATATTCTGCAACCCGGTTTTACTCTGATTGAGAAGCAGGAATGAATACAAGAGGCGGGTTCAGCTGAGGCACCTGCCACGAGGATTTTTGGGGGTGAAATGCATCACCCCCGACTTCAATAGCTGTTAACCAGGTTCGTAGGTGCTCTCGCAGGGGTGAAATTGCCAGTTCTACTCGTCTGAGGTGCCAGCTAAGAGGGATTTTAGGACTGGGGTTAGGGACAGTGCCACCCTGCAGGTGTGTTCCCTGCGAAAGCTGCTTTGTCTGGAGATTTTGGAGTGGCTTTGTCCTGTCTGCAGAGCTGAAAAAGGATGAACGTGCCTAAGACTCCCCTGATTTAATTTTTTCTGTAAAGCCCGTTTAAGATTCTCCAAGCCACTGTGCTTTCTAGGGGCTGATACTTCTAATACAAGTATCAGAACCATTTCTTCCATCTGTTTGTGCCCAAATTTTTGCAGGGGGTCAGGAAGCTCTTTGACAACGTGTATTTTGAAGTCAGTGAGCAAGTGCTTATCTATCAAAATATTTTGAGAAAATGTGGAAGAAACCCAGAGAAAAACTACACATCAGGGCAGGAGAGAGGATTCAAAGCTAGAAAGCATCTTCAGAAGGCTGAAACTGCCTCCACGCAGTCACCGGGCAGATAAAAGGCAGAATCACCATTCTGCAAGCTAAAAGAGACTGAGGAATAGTTTAAAAAAAATAGGTTTTTTTTTTTTTCAGCAGTCACAGCCTCCCCAGGGACACCCAGCAAGGGGAGCTCATGCCCCGGGCTGGACACAGCCAGAAACGAAAGAAATAAATGAGCTGCATGTACCGTGGGTCCCGGAGTAACGCTGGAGGGCCCAGCGAGCCCGTGGAGAGGGGGAAAACGGGGAAAACCAGGAACTGGCCACAGAAGGTGATAAAATGCTGATGGGGGGTCCTCTTGGGTCTGGTGGGAGTCGTCGTTCAGCAGGGCAGAGCTCAGCCTGCAAGGAAACCTGCTGACCCTTTGAGTCAGATCTCTCCTTAGTTTTTATTTGGGTAAAATATGTAGAGATTTTTGTCTTATCCCAATTCAGACTGAAACGCTGGAAAATCTCTTCTGGTTTTTTTTTTTTTTTTTGGTTGGTTGGTTTTGGTGGGGATTTTTTTGGTGTGGGTGGCTTGTTTTAGTTTTTTTTTTTTTCCCCCAAATAATTTCCAATTAGTATTAAGTATTAGCTTGGAGCTAACGGTAGCTGGGCGTCTAAACCCGCAGCAGAAGCGGGGGGGGTCTGCCCGTGTTCTGGGTGACGTACAATTAGTGCAGGAGGAACCCGCAGCCAGCTTCTCCATCCCCTGCTTTGTTACCTGCTTTTCACTGCAACATCCTATTTCTGGCAGTTTTCACCGGCAGACCGCAAGGTGCAGAGCTGTCATGGGGGGATTGTTCCAAACCACGAGAGCAAGAGAGGTCGGCTACAGCGTTTTGGTGTCTTGGTGGGCGTTCTGCTGAGCAGCTCCGGGGATGCTCTTGGTGTGGCAGCCTACAGCTTCCAGGAGGAGGGTGAAAACATTTTCCACCACAGGTACTTTTCTTTGTGATTGTTTATTTCTGAATGGCAAAGGCTGTAATTTGCGTCGCAGGTCTGAGGGGATCCTTGCTTGTTTATTTTAAAGGTATTTATTTTAGGTGAGGAACCTCCCCAGCTGTTTTTAATCTGTTTGCAGCATGTTGATCCTCGTTGCTCGGCGTTACTCAAGCAGTCAGTACGTAGGCTGCTGTTCAGATGCTGGCAGCTGTCTACATCTGAGAATAAGCACTGAGGAACTGTTGGTTTTGCAGTTAGACTGTCACTCAGATCCTCTCCCCTTCTATTTTAATTGTTGAAAAGGGGAGAGAGACCTGTAAGCTCTTCTAGGACCAGCCCATGTGGGTCTCCATGGCCTGTCCCTGTTCTCCTCAACAGCTCTGCTAAAATAAAACCAAACGTGCGAGCTCAGCTCTGTCACAGAGGTGTGCACCTTAATGTTCTCTCTGGTTTTCAGTTCGTGCATCGATAGAAATAGCTTCCAGCAATACACTCGGTCACTCACCTCAAGGATCTAATTTCCTTGACCATCAGAGATTTTACAATAATTAGATTTTGCTCAAGTGTGGGAATGGCTTGGAAGAAATTTATTAGGGGGAAAAAAAAGGGCAGAGACAAATATTTATTCACTTTATTAAAAGTAGTAAAAATACAGAATAAATATTTTCTCCAAAATACATATCTCTATAAAATGTCACATAATTTAATTGACACCGTAGCAATAAATTCATGCTGATCTAAACACTGCTGTCATCACCGTTAGCTTTAGAAAAAACATTCATTCTCTAAGTAGCATATGCCCGGATCATTACAAAATCTTTAGTTGCCAAAGCTGTAGGTAGAGGAAAATCTCAGGATGTGTTTCTCTGTGCTCGTGAAAGGTTCGGGGCGGAGTGCTAAGGGGAGCACGTTGTCCCGGTGCTCCTGGCGGGTAAGTGACAGACACAGATACAGCGCAGCTCAGGCTGAGCTTAAGAGGGGGAATATCGTGCAAATTCAACTTTCGCAGTTCATCCCCCTCTGGCGTCAAAGCAGTGGCAAAGCCAGCTCTGTACTAGAAAAATTTTCCATCTATAATCACATTAGTTAATCCTCTTTCCTGTAGACAGATATTACAACGTTGAGATTTTCCCAGTACAGCCGCACCGGTTCCCTGAGCTAAATCACCTCTTTCGGCAGCATCAGCTGCGCACCGGTTTCACGTTTGTACACGGGTTCCTGCTCTCCCAGACACGTTATTGAGAATAAAACCCATTCCGCTGCGTTTCTGTGGTACCAGCAAAACCTTCCAGCAGAAGTTTGCCCTTAAACCTGAAGAGTGGCAAGATCCCCAGGCCGTATTGCTCGAGTGCATGCCGCCCCCCCTCCCTGACGCAGGTCCAGCCTAATCTTAAAGAAAGGCGAAAGGAAATGAGTTCACCTCCCACCTGGGTTTATCAGCGGGTGTTTATGCGGAACCCAGGGGCTGGCAGCGGTCAGGTCAGGCGCAGTGTGTGAAACAGCTGCTTCTGCCCCCGAATTCGTCCCTCTGTGTTCATTCTCATCGTGCCTGTTCAGAAAGTAGCTTGACCTTTTCATGAGAAACCCAAAAGTTTTACGCCTAGTCAGGTCCTTCCAGAACCCCCTGTATGATTTGTTTTACCCGGTATTTCAATTTTCAGCTAGAAATAGGACTGACATTTCCCCAGCAATGCTTCCCGAGATTACATGCCAAACACAAACCAGTACTGTACAGCTGAAGCCAAAGGTGTGCCCTGCCAGATTTTAACGCAAAGGAAGAGTACTTTAAAAACAAATAAACCTTTTACTGCTCATTTAAATTTACAACAATTCCAGAAAATGATAACTCTACGCTCTTGCAGTTTTTGATGCTTTTCGGATGAATGTCATCAGGTTTTCTATGAATATTGTTGCATTTTTTCTCTCTGTATCACATTGCCCCTGAAAAGTTAATCAGGAAAATTAAGTTATAAAATATATAACCGTTATGTAGAGATCTTTTTGAAATAATTTTGTAAATGATATGATTTTCCTTAAACCTTAAATATGCTGATCACGCATATGAAACCTCACTTCAGAGGTGGGTCAAGCTGAAAACAAGGGAAGGGTAGAAGCGTAAAATAATGCCAGGATTTCTGCTTCCATGTGCTTAACAGAAGCGAGTACAAAAGTTATTCTCTCTCTTGTAGACATAAGGACGTTGTTATGAATTACGGATCACGTTTTATTCCATCACTGCTGCGTGATCTCTGTTAGACAAGAAATAAATTCCTACCTCTTTTGCCAGGCTTGGTGTGAGTGATTGCTTCAGTCTTTCAAATTTTTGGAAAAAAACACTGAATTTTTTCATAGCTGGACTAGTTTTCAGCTGTTCCGTTCCTTCAAAGATTGTGCTGACGCAATTCACATCCTAAGATGGAAGATATAGCAAAACCGAGATATAAGAATTTGCAACCATGAACTACAGTAAGTTTATTAAAAATCTTCTTGAGTTACATCCAGCTGCCTGGGAGGAAAAAAAAAAAAAAATTGCTGCTGACTTCAGGGCTCGTATTTGCAAACGACTTGGGTAAACATGCTTAACGCTTATTTACTCTTCAGGCAGAATCTTGGTAGATGATGGTTTCTGCTAGCATATGTTTTGTAACGTCCAGATGACCCATATAATAATAAAACTCAGTCCTGTCTCTTCCGCAGCCATCTGAAGAGCGATTTGATTTCTTAAATCTGTTTGTAACAGCAGGTTTATGTCTTCAGTTTGGACGCGAGATGCTTTCTGTCCCGGGAGGTTGAGCTGTCTGAAGGCGAGAGAAGGAAAATAAATAAACCCGACAACTACTCCAGAGATCAACCTCTGCAGCAGCTGACATCTGGTGCTGGGAGAGGTGGGGACAGCGGTCAGGGTCTCCTCTCACAGCCCTGCCCGCCCTGTCCCGTCCCAAGGGGGGCTGTGCACCGCGCACCCTGCTCCTCTTCCACAGAGCGGTACCTGGTCCAGGCAAGGTGGCCAAAGGGCTAGAGGGGATACGGGATGGAAGCAGAGCAAAGGGTGATGAGGGTTGCGCTCGCCCGTGCCAGGTGGATTTGGAAGAGATCAGCTAAACTCACCGAGAAAGAGAGGAGAGGACGCTACCATCGGCAGCAGGAAGAGACTGAAGTGTAACGGAAGAAGAAAGTGATGAAAAATGAAGGAAAAACTAATCAGCAAAGATCGGAGGAAATGCAGAGAGCTGCCAGAGCCAGCATCATGCCCACGGCGTTCTCAGCCGGCGCTGGGTCTCCCGTTTGTCGTTCCCGGGTGCTGCGTGACAAGGAAGATCATTTTCCTCACAACCTTGCTTGGGAGGCTGCTGGCTTGTGCCACTGCCGAACAACAAACGCGGAGGCGCTGGAAATGCTCCATCATCTCTGCATCCGAAGTCCAGGTGAGAGGGAGCGGCTCTTCTCCCCGGAGGAGAGTCGGGCACCAGCACGGGGGGGCTGCGGTGGCACCGCCGGGGACCTCAGTGGGGCAAGGGATGAACAAGCTGCTGGCGTTCAGCACTGCTGATTCTGAGTCTGTTTTCCTCAGTAAAAACTCAGGGTTAAAGTCTGGCCCAAGCCCCAGCCTGGGAAGGGAGATTTTCCAGACGGGATCCAGATAGAACTGACAGATGTGGGAACTTTACATCTCATTTATAAGGAATGGGCTGGATTTGCCATCAAAAAAAAACCCTCCACCCTCCTGTAGCTAGCTTACCGCACAAATGTGAATTATTCTGCTTTCTCAATAAATTAATTACTCGGATTGCATTTCCACAAATGGCCATGGTGTTATCTGAAGAGCTCCAACAGGCTGTCATCTCATATTGAAACCGAGTTTCCAGTTGATGCACAGCAGAAAAAAAACCCAAACCTCTCATTAGCAGGATCGGCATGGAGAGGAAGTTCTTTAAAGTCAGGTCCCAAAGGAAAGAGCCTTTACGCCGAGAGGGAACAAGAGATTTAAGGAGATGCAAAAGAAGATGGCAAATGCGTAAAGAGGGATTTGGTCTTTAAGCCAGACCTACCAGCACAGGCGGTAGCTGGGGTCTGGTTCTCAGGGCATTAACACCATCCCTCAGACAAGACGGGGTCATACAACTATTTAATCCCCTGACAGGTGGTAGAGGTGTAAAAAGCCATTTCTAAAAGCTGACTAAGTGGAGTAATTTTAGCAGACGGACAGGCAAGAAACGTGACTGAGTTCGTTCTTTCCTTTCTGCCTGTCTTTCTTTTAAAAAGCTGATTGAGAAAATCATGCTCTGTGTGTGTTCTGCAGGAGATTTACAACATAGAAGAGGAATAATTGCCGTCCTTGGCTACTTTTGTATCAGCATCTTTTCCTTTGGCTCAACATTTGATTATTTTTAATAACATTTTATATCTTACAATAACATTTAATATCTTTAGTAACATTTTATATCTTATAATAGTTACACTCAAAGTCATTGTTCTTAAATACAGAGTATTTTAGGAGACAGCGATTTTAAAACTATCTCAATTTTCAATTACTAAATTTATGAAAAAGTTATATTTTTAAAAAAAAGGGGGGGTTTACTTACATCTATATTGTCTGGAGTTTCAATCCTCAGATTCTGAAAAATAATATTTTAATTAAGCCTTTCGAATATCATCTTCGTTAACGCTAATAAAAATTGTCATATAAGTAGTTTGACTTCCAAAAAAAAAGTTAAATATTCAAGAACAAGGGAATTCAGTATACTGAATTTTAGATTAGAATAGTGGAAATGGAACTTACCCGCGTGTCCTTTGCCATCGCCTCACACATTTGCTCTAACAGTGACAGTAATTCAGCAATGCTGCTCATCGGGGGAGCAGCAGAGATGCCTGCAGCCAGCAAAAGGAGGCAGAGCTGGATCTTCATCCTTCTGATGTGCTCAGAGAACCTGTAAGTGCCTCTGGACCAGTCCCCTACCATTTTATGGTCTCTCTACAAGGAAATACCAGGTTAGGGTGATTTTTGAAACTGATAGAATAAAGGTCACTTGTTGAGATTTTCTGGAAGAGAAAGGTTCCAGTAAATTTGGTGTTTAACCTTGGGGCACACTCCTTACCCAATCAGCATTTCCACAGAAGTAGGTAATAAATACATAAGGATGTGGCCTTTCATCAGTAAATCAGTGAAAATGGCCCAAAGCATGACAAAGCAGCTGCCGTCTCCATGGCACTTCTCTAGAAACTGGCCCTTCGCTGATAACAGCGCGCGATCTTCTGATAGGCAATGAGAAAAAGGTTGCGGTGTCAGAAAAAAAAAACCCCAAACAACCCCCCTCAGAAGACATGTGGACCACTGCCTAGAGAGGGAACATGACAGCATTTGTGGGAGAGTTTTGTCAAAATGCAAGTATTAGGTAAGAATCTGCTGCCCTGGAGCGGGAGGGCAGCCCTGGAGCGGGAGGGCAGCCCTGGGGACGGGCACAGCAAAGTGATTTCTTTTTTTTTT